GCCCATCTCCCAGCAGATCTGGGAGACGTAAGCTGTCAAACTCGTCAGAGTTGGGCGCACATATGGCGGTTACCTCCTCGGAGCGCTCCTGGTAGGGCTTCATCATGTTCACATGGAGCATGCGTTGCCCTCCAGTCCCTGTGCAGGGGCCGATTATATAGGTGGTGTCGCATCTCTGTTCCACCACCCTATAGGGTCCCTGCCAGACGGCCTGTAACTTGTCATGTCGGACAGGTTTTAAAATCAACACTTTCTGTCCCCCCTGAAAGCTACGGTCCCTGGCTCCCCGATCATACCATGTGCGCTGGCGGGTCTGCGCCGCCTGAAGGTTTTCCCTTACCGTCCTAGTCAATGCTTCCAGGCGGTCTCGGAAGGCCAACACATATGGTATGATGGGAGTGCCATCTGCGCTCTGGTCTCCCTCCCAATGCTCTCTAATCAGATCTAGGGGGCCTCTGACTCTCCACCCAAATAGCAGTTCAAACGGGGAAAACCCCGTGGACTCCTGGGGCACCTCCCGGTAAGCGAATAGGAGATGCGGCAGGAATCGCTCCCAGTCCTTGTGGGTCTCTGCGAAGGTTCGGAGCATTTGTTTCAATGTACCATTGAACCGTTCGCAGAGCCCATTAGTCTGGGGGTGGTAAGGGGCACTGATAATAGGCTTAATGCCACAGATCCTCCAGAGGTGTTGGGTGACTTCCGTGGTAAATTGGGTACCCTGATCCGAGATAATCTCCCTGGGTAACCCCATCTGGGAGAAGATCCGCACGAGGGCATCCGCGACCGTTTCAGCGTGGATATTGGTCAGAGCCACTGCCTCTGGATATCTAGTGGCATAATCTACCACAGTTAAAATGTACCTTTTGCCTGACGGGCTAGCTTTCTTGAGAGGGCCTATCAAATCTACAGCTATTCTACTAAAGGGTTCTTCAATTATGGTTAGGGGTTGTAGTTTCGCCTTCCTTCGGTTTCCCCTTTTTCCTACCCTCTGGCAAGTATCGCACGTACTGCAATACTTGCGCACTTCCTGGCTGATCCCTGGCCAGAAGAAACTTTGGGTCAGTCGGTACCTAGTGCGACTGACCCCTAAATGTCCGGATAGCAGAATATCATGCGCTATCCGGAGTAACTCTGCTCGGTACCGCTGTGGCACCACTAGATCCCTCATCACTATCGCGTCTGACCCAGCTATCTGCTTGTCCGACTCCCTGTATAGAAGCTGCTTGTCCCAGACAAATCTCTCTCCCTACCCCCCGGGTGAGTCAGTGGCACCTTGTCCCTATATACTTGCAGCATAGGGTCAGTTATTACTTCAGCTGCGAACTCATTAGGTGGGGCCCGGGGGACACATTCTAAGGAAGGGGAAGGGTCTCTTACCTGAACCTCTGGGAGTGTATTGTAGTCCTGGGTGCGGGCCTGTTGTCGGGTGACCACAGGGTGAGCTTCTCCTGTGGTTGGTGTCTGGGGCTCAAAAGCAGACGTGAGCCTCCCCAGATCGTTCCCCAACAAAACCTCCGCTGGTAACTGCGGCATCAACCCCACCTCCACTTGTCCTGAACCCGCTCCCCAATGCAAATGTACCCTTGCTGTAGGTAGCCAGTACACTGCTACCCTGACGGCCACAGTTTTGCTGAGTTTAGCCTGATCCGAGACCAGGTGACTTTTTACCAGGGTTATAGTAGCTCCTGAGTCACGTAGTCCTTGGACCGCTTTACCCTCCAAGTAGACAGTTTGTCTATGGTGCTGACGATTATCAGCATTGGCCTGTACTGGATCGGCTTCGTGCAATACTTCCCACTGTTCCACGGTGGTAACGGGCACTGCTGAACCATATGGTGTTGCAATTATGTCCTGGTAGCAGTGTGCTGCGGTTGCTCTTGGTGGTGGTGGCAGGCCTGGTCGGGTCCAGGTGGAACGATCCCGGAGTTGTGGGCATTCCCGTTTATAATGCCCCCATTTCTGGCAGTGATGACAGGGCCCAGAGCTCGGCTGGCGAAATCGTGGCTGTGCAGCGGGTGGTGGTGGCGGTGGTAGTTGTCTCGGTGGTGGTGGGGTGTAGTTGGTTCCCCCAAAGGTTTTTAACGCTACTTTTGGAACTGCGGGTTTTTGTTGCCTGCGTGCGTCCAGATAATCATGTGCCTTCCTTGCAGCTTCTGTTAGTGATGTAGGGTTCCGGTCCCTTACCCACTCCTGGACATCTGTTGACACCCCATAATAAAAAATTGTTCCATTAGCAGCATTTGTATCACGTCCTCCATGGACCGTGCCTTGCTTACTTGTACCCACCCGAGAGCTGCCCGTTGTAACCTGCATGCCCACTCCGCTTTCTTTAAATCCCGAAATCTCCTCCGGTATGCCTGTGGTGTTATAGCATACCGGGCCAGTATAATCTCTTTCACTCTACTGTAATTCCTGATTTCTTCGTCTGGTACAGTACGATATGCCTCTGCTGCCCTCCCAGTTAAACGTCCTGCCAGAATAGGTACCCAGTCCTCTGTACTGATTCTACGCAGTGTACACAGTCAAAATCTTGCAGGAAAGCATCTATGTCTTCCTCTGCCTCCACATATGTTTTAAAAGCCTGATACGGTATTTTAGGCTTACCTTCCTGTGTCGTGTGTACTGCAGGGTTGCGTTCTGGGGTTGTTGTTGTCCGTTGCCTTAGTATGAATTCCTGGACCTCTGTCATGGTCTTGGAAATAATTTCCGCTGGAGGGTGCTCTCCATAAAAAGACAGGCTAAATTGTAACTGTCTCTGGAACTCCATTTGTTCCTGTCTTTCCGCCGAATCCCCCTGTTCGGGAACCGAACCACCATCCATTCGGTACTCTGCCATGAGTTCAGTAATAAGTACTGCTTTCTTTTTGTTGCTGGCTTGAATACCCCTTACTTCTCGGAGGTCCTTTAGTGTGGAGCGTTTTAGTGTAGAAAAATCAATCTCCATCCGTACTCCATTGGTGCTTGTTCCTCTGTAAGTCTTGATCCCAGCGCTGCCAACCAATGTAGCGGAGATCCAGTATTCCACAGGTTATCTCCGCTTAAGATCCCAGTGAGGCTCAGGAACAAGTAATTATAAATCCATAAAGCAAGGTTTCCAGCAGGTAAAGTAATCCAGCAATATCCCAACAGCAATCCCAATAACTGGACGACACACCGCATCAGGAGCAGAACTAAAAACCTTTATTTCAAAGTGGCCTTATAAAGCATGCTCCCATGCAAGGGAGGGATTTCCATTAATTAATACAGTATCCAATCCGGCAGTAGTAACCTCCCACAGATCTCCTCCCCTCAGCCTGACTCATAATCCCCTTATACTGTACACAAATTCCCCCAGTTTCTGGATGTACCCCTAAATCTAGGGGTACCCCTTTAAATGGCACATCCCCTGGTAGCCCTGATCTGGGTGAGCAACATATCCAAAAATCACCCAGATCGGACCAGGGGTTCGGGAAATTCATGGAGGTACTAAAAAGACCGACCACGCTGGAGAGAACAGCCGAAATTGGGCTCCATGCGATGGGGCCCTGCGGTCGGTCACAGTATAAGGGAATAAATGGCACGAAAGGCTAAGGCTACAGAGATCAGGTAGGGTTCGCATGAATCCCCTCGTTCGGTTGTTTCTGTCTACCGAACGAGGGGCCGTTCGGTAGTTTGGAACCGAACGGACCGGGCTTGTGGAGGTCTCAGCGGTGTTCGCCTAGTCGATTGTCCGATTTGGGTTCCAGACACTCGACGGCAAAACACCGCTCTTCGGGAGTTTTAAAATGTCCGCCGCCACGTGTTCGTTTCCCGAATGGAGGCCACCCCGAGAACAAAGGACCTACTGCATAGCTTGTTAATTACCCATTCGCAACATTGTTGCAATGGGTAATTGAAGGCACACTTCACACAGGGGAGGTCTGACTGTTCGGTAGTTTCATTCCCTTAGTTTGTTCGAATGATTCTACCGAACAATCAGATGAATATACGTTATTTGGACACATAAAAACCAGCAATTTACTCGAATACAGTTATACACATGCAATTTTCAGGACAGCCCAATGCCATCCGGTACAGTAATAGTTGGCAAAACCAATAAAGCTTTGAATGGCTTTTAAACTAGAGGGTAATGGCCAGTGTAGTACAGCCTCTAGTTTTTTAGGATCCATTTGAAATCCCGATGCAGAGATGTTGTAACCCAACAAGTGAACTTCAGGCTGGTCAAATATGCACTTTTCTAATTTACAGTAAAGTTTATTTTTCAACAACGTCTGCAGAACCTGTTTCACATGGGAGTGGTGAGTTTGAAGATCAGGGGAATACACCAAAATATCGTCCAAATAAACCAAGACAGATGAGTAAATGAATTCCCTGAGTACATCATTTATAAAGTCTTGGAATACGGCCGGGGTGTTGCATAACTAAAAATGGCATTACCAGATATTCATAGTGTCCACTACGGGTATTAAATGCCGTCTTCCACTCATGATTCTCTTTAAAGGACCACTATAGTGACAGGAAAACATACTCGTTTTCCTGGCACTATAGTGCCCTGAGGGTGCCCCCACCCTCAGGGTCCCCCTTCCGCCCGGCTCTGGAAGGGGGAAAGGGGTTTAAACTTACCTTTTTCCAGCGCTGGGTGGGGAGCTCTCCTCCTTCCTTCTCTCCCGCGCCAAGTATTCAGTTGTCACATAGGAAAGCATTCATAATGTGCTCTGTTGGATTTCGAGTGCTAAGCTCACCGTGAAAATCACAGTGAGTAGCACGTTAAAGGACCTAGTGGCTGTCAATGAGACAGCCACTAGAGAGGTTGGGGAAGGCTTAACTCACATAAACATAGCAGTTTCTCTGAAACTGCTATGTTTATTAAAAAATGGGTTAACCCTAGCTGGACCTGGCACCCAGACCACTTCATTAAGCTGAAGTGGTCTGGGTGCTTAGAGTGGTCCTTTAATTCTAACCAAATTGTAAGCGCTCCTAAGGTCAAGCTTAGTAAATACTTTAGCTCCCTGAAGTCTATCGAACAATTCGGAAATAAGTGGGATAGGGTATGCATTTTTTACAGTGATTTTATTAAGTGCCCTGTAGTCTATGCAAGGGCGTAACTCACCACCCTTTTTCTCAACAAAAAAGAATCCTGCACCAGCTGGTGAGGATGACTTTCTTATTTGCCCTTTGCTTAAGGATTCTTTGATGTATTCCTCCATTATTTTACTCTCCTGGGGAGATAAGGCATAAACTGCCCCCTTAGGTGGCATAGCACCTGGAAACAAGTTAATGGCACAGTCGTATGCTCTGTGGGGAGGCAATACATCAGATTGAGCCTTGTTAAACACCTCCTGAAGTTCTTGGTATTGTATGGGAACTCCAGGAATTTGGGAAGTGGTAGTGGGAAGGTCAATAGTATCCAATCTCTTTAGTACTGGTTTTATACATCTGTCACGTATTCATCCGCTTATAGAAATGTGGTTAATGACATTTACTGTCCACACAGGAAAAGTTGTGCCGAGCAGCAACCTAATCCACAGAAGGTTTAATGCTGAGCAGTAATTGTGCAAATGAAGCCTGGTGTCATGTATTCATCCGCTTATAGAAAAGTGGTTAATGACATTTACTGTCCACACAGGAAAAGTTGTGCCGAGCAGCAGCCTAATCCACAGAAGGGTTAATGCTGAGCAGCAATTATGCAAATGAAACCTGGTAACTGACTTTGGGGTCAAAGGCCGGTTACAGCCTATCAGAACTAAGGAGGGGTATTTAGGCCCAGTTCTCAGCCTGCTCAGTGCCCTGTCGTGGTTTCCCTTGTGGTTGTCCGAGAGCGCGTTCCTGTTTATAGTTTTCTACCTGGTTTTTGACTTTGGCTTTGTTTATTGACTTCTCTATATTCTGGTATCCTGACTCCTGGCTTTCCTCATCGCTGTGTCCTTTTCTGTGTTCCCTGACCTCGGCTAGTATTTTTGACTATTCTTTGTACGTTAAATCCGGCCATTCTAAGGACCGGTAATCAGGGCCGGATTAAGAGCACAGTGGGCCTGGTGCTGACAATTATGATGGGCCTAATTACGGAATCTTATCGACCAAAAACATTAAAACAATTATACCTCCAAAGCTTCATGTATCTGATGGAGATGGTGCTGGAGGGAAACTCATAGGATGCAGCTATAAGAAAACACATACTATATGCTAATCCAGCAAGTGCACACAAGTTTTGTTCCCATACATCCCTCTTAAGCTTCCAAACTTAAAGGGACACTATAGTCACCAGAACAACTACAGCTTATTGTATTTGTTCTGGTAAGTAGAATCATTCCATTCAGGCTTTTTGCAGTAAACACTGTCTTTTCAGAGAAAATAACTCCACTGGCTGCTCCTTAGAGGGCTGCTAGAGGTGTTTCCTGGGGCAGTACTGCCTAGTGTGCAGCACTGCCATTCAGTGTCTCCACCCTCTTCATGCAGACTCTGAACTTTCCTCATAGAGATGCATTGATTCAATTTATCTTTATGACGAGATGCTGATTGGCCAGGGCTATGTTGGACTTGTGCTGGCTCTGCCCCTGATCTGCCTAGTTGACAGTCTCAGCCAGTCCTATGGGGAAGTATTGTAATTTGCTCAGACCACCACTTCTGAGCCAGCAGCTGCAGAATTTAATACAAGTAATATTTTACTATATTTAGGGAGGCAAGAAGGGGCCAGTGTGGTGGTTTTAACATTATAGGGTCAGAAATACATGATTGTGTTCCTGACCCTATAGTGCTCCTTTATGCAAGAGTATGTGAAGAGTAGTTAAGGTTGCCACCTTACTTGGAAAAAAGTACCAGCCTTAATAATTTGTATAATTAATTGGTTATGCGTGACATCACATGATGTAAATCACAAGGAGTGACATCAGAGAAAATTCTATAAAATCACCAAACTACTCACAGTTTGATTCTGTATAGATGGATTGCTCCCAGTGTCTCCCTGTCTCTCAGTGTCTCAGTCTCGCAAGTCACCCAGTGTCTCAGTGTCCTTATGTATCACAGTGTCAGTGTTCCCCTGTCGCCCAGTCCCCTAGTCTCCCAGTGTCTGTGTCCCCATTTCTCCCAGTGTCCCAATGTCTCAGTGTGTCCCCATGTCACTAGGATACTGGGGACACTGAGAAACCCAGGGACACTGAGACATTTAGGGAAACTGGGAGAAATGGGGACACTGAGACACTAGGGACACAGACATGGGAACACTAGACACTGGGAGACTAGGGGACACTGGCTGGGAGACAGACACTTGGGGACACTGGGAGACATGGGGACAGTTGTGGACATAGACATGTGGACACTGGGACATATAGGGACACTGGGAGACATGGAGACACTGAAACATTTGGGGACACTAAGACACTGGGAGACTAGGTGACACTGGGAGACTAGGGGATACTGGGAGACTAGGGGACACTGGCTGGGAGACAGACACTTGGGGAGACATGGGGACAGTTGTGGACATAGACATAGGAACACTGGGACACATGGGGACACTAGGCACACAGAGACATGGGACACAGACACTGGGAGACTTGGGGACACTGAGACACTAGGGACACTGGCTGGGGGACATAGTGTCTCCGTGTCCCAATGTCTCCCAATGTCCCTATGTCTCTCAGCGTCCCCATGTGTCTCAGCATCCCCTAGTGTCTCAGTGTCCCCAGGTCTCCCAGTGTCTGTGTCCCCATGTGTCCTAGTGTCTCAGTGTCCCCTAGTGACCGTGTCCCCATGTGTCCCCTAGTGTCTCAGTGTCCCCTAGTGACAGTGTCCCCATGTGTCCCCTAGTGTCTGTGTCCCCATGTGTCTGTGTTCCCATATGTCCCCAAGTGTCTCAGTGTCCCCATGTTTTCCAGTGTCCCCAAGTGTCTCTGTGTTCCCAGGTCTCCCAGTGTCTGTGTCCTAGTGTCTCAGTGTCCCCTAGTGTATGTGTCCCCTAGTGTCTGTGTCCCCTAGTGTCTAAGGGTCTGTGTCCCCTAGTGTCTCAGTGTCCCCATGTGTCCCCTAGGGTCTCAGTGTCCCCATGTGTCCCTGCTGCCTTTCCCCCGATCCCTCACTTACCTGAGCTCTAGAGCTGCTGTCTGGACTCTCTGTGCTGTGTAGCTGCTCCCCCACACATCAGTGAGTAGTAGAGAGAGGCAGGGATATTTTGTAACTTCCTATCCCTGCCTCTCTCCTACTGGCCGGTGCTGGTATTGCAGAGTAATTTCCATTTATTCTGAGAAAATTACCTGCATTTGTATTGCTGGTATTACTGCAATACCGGCAGGTCCAGGCAGCCTCAAATACTGTCTGTGACATTAAAATACCAGTCAGGTGGCAAACCCCTAAGAGTAGTGTGTAAAAAAATTTTTTTTTTTTTAAATGGGCCTATTCCATGGGCCTGGGCCTGGAGCTGCAGCTCCATCAGCCCCTATGTTAATCCGGCCCTGCCGGTAATACGTTACTTATTTGTCATCCGTGCTGTACAGTTCTACGTGCTGGATGAAACAGTAATCCTGACAACATCTTCCCATACACTCTTTACCCCATTCTAATATCTCACCATTAGCCCAGTCAATATAGGGATTGTCACGGAAACCCTAATATGATAGGACATGATGGAGAAGTAATAACCTGAAACGTCATCTCCTCCCTATGGGATGCCCCAATAGAGATCGTAATAGGGACAGTTTCGTGGGTTTTAAGCGGTTGTGTGAGTGGTCTACCATCAATAGCCTCTACAGCTAGCGGCGTAGGTCTCTCCCTGACCGGTATCTCATTACCCCTAATAAACTGGACATCAATAAAATTTCCAGCAGCACCTGATTCCATTAGGGCACTGCATGAAAACTTCTTGTTATCAAGGGAAATCGATACCTCAAGGAGGAATCTACTTTTGTTTTTGTTAGAGGAAAACTCCATCACACCTAAGATCTGTCCCCTTAAGGTTCTTAGTTGCGGAAGTTTTCCGGACGCACTGGGCAATTAGTTATCATATGTCCCTTTCTACCGCAATATAGGCATAACCCCTCCCTTCTCCTATACTGTTTTTCGGCCTCTGACAGTCTAGTAACCCCCAACTGCATAGGTTCGGGTTCGGACTGTACAGGGAGATTAGACAAAACATGTTTAGAGAATTGAGGTGCTAGGGACATAGCCGTACGTCTGGTCTTGCTTCTGGTGACTTCTCTGAGTCTTAACCTATTATCAATATGCATGACAAACGTAATAAATTCGTTAAGACTCTTAGTTAATTCTTTAGCGGCTATCTCATCTAGTATAGTCTCTGAGAGACCCTTTTTGAATGCGGAGATTAACCCATTGTTAGTCCAGTCTACCTCGGAAGCTAAGGTATGGAATTCAATAGCATAATCCGAGATAGACCGGTTACCTTGTCTGATGTGCATTAGGGCAGTGGAGGCGTCATCCTCTCTACCCAATGGCTCAAACGTGAGCTTGAATTCGGCAAGGAATTCCTGGTAATTTTGAGCTATGCTCCGATTACTCTCCCACAACGGATTAGCCCAGCCAAGGGCCTTGCCCTTTAATTGATTCATTAGATAACCAATTTTTTCTCTGTCCGTGGGGGAACGACCCTGGTGAGGCCTCAAAATGGTACTCCACCTGATTAAGAAAACCCCTGCATTCCTGGATATTGCCATCAAACTGTAGGGAAGGCGATAAGGAGATGCTAGGAGTCCTATTAACAGTGGGTGGAGGTACACAGGGTAGAGGTGCTATAGGAGGCGACGCTGCAGTTGGGCCATTCTAGCGAGAAGCGTACTGAAAGCCTGAGCGAATTGATCCATGTGATGATCATTCTCCTCTAATTTCCTCTCGCAAGCAGCTATGTGCTGACACAGTTCTACAGGATCTATGGCCATGTCGTAATGTCAGGATTACTGTTTGATCCATCACGTAGAACTGTATAGCACGGATGACAAATAAGTAACGTATTACCGGTCCTTAGAATGGCTGGATTTAACGTACATAGAATAGTCAAAAATACTAGCCGAGGTCAGGGAACACAGAAAGGGACGCAGCGATGAGGAAAGCCAGGAGTCAGGATACCAGAATATTGAAAAGCCAAAGCCAAAGCCAAAGCCAAAGCCAAAGCCAAAGCCAAAGCCAAAGCCAAAGCCAAAGCCAAAGCCAAAGCCAAAGCCAAAGAATGCTCTCAGACAACCACAAGGGAAACCACGACAGGGCCCTGAGCAGGATGAGA